AAGCCACATTCTACAGCGATCCTGAAAAAGATTATGGTCAAGTCGACACAGGCACCAAATGTGGGGAAGGACTGGTAAGACTGGTCTCTAGATACATGCCAGTTATTCCCAAACTTCCTTGTAGCTCAATAACAATGAACTCCTTCAATCACCTCTAATAAAAGAAACTTTATAGGTTTGCTATCAGGAAGCATTATAATTTGACACTAATGATGTGTTTGTTTTCTCAGGTTTGTAACCAGAATGAGTGTGTTGACCTAGAGACGGCTTACAAAGCAACAAACTGCTCCGCCAAATGCAGAGGCCATGCGGTATGACCCAAAATATGCCTTTCTCTAACACTAACTTCTCGTTTCCTCATAAAATGCCACAAATAGATTAGATTAGATAAACCTTTATTCGTCCTACAATGGGGACATTTCCATGTAATGCTTTTTGACTATTTCAGGTCTTAATATAATATTCTTTCATAAGTTATACATATTGTACAACTTGTTTTAGAAGAATTAATGTAAGTGTATATGCTACAGGTTTGTGACCACAGAAAGGAGTGCAGATGTGAAACTGGATGGCTGCCTCCAGATTGTGAAACACCAGCAGAAAGTGAAGGTTCTTCTAAAGGTATACCACAGACACTGTATTCAAAATAGCCTCATATTCTTTTTGTTTGGAGGATCACAAATAAGATTTTTTTGCCTCTTTGCATTTCTAGCGGTGACAATAGCCATTGTCGTGGTTGTCTGCATCCTGATTGGGATACTTCTAATTGGACTGGCCGTCTTCTTTTACAAGCGCAGAAAGAGCACGCCACATTCACTCAGGTAAGAGTATAAGAAACCAACACTTAAACACTGGAGGAAGTCAATAAATCAAGTGCATTTAATGCTGCCGTTTTCTTAATAGCCATCCAAGGCAGCAGAAAGTTCATGTAGTCGACATCCCTGACTACAGCCATCAGTCGACACCAAATCAGAAGCCGTCTCTGGTAACTTGCGGTCACATCTGATGAAATTTCATCATCTCATTTAACAACAAGCACAATCTATACCAAATGAAAGCGTTATCAGGACTTTGTGATCTCTTTGTTTATTCTATAGGTAATAAGGCCTACAGCACCTCCTCCACCTCCACCCTCTTCAGTTCAATCCGGAGGTCTGCATAATGACTACCTAAATGCGCGACAGGTAGCAAAGCTAACTCTACATAATGTGTAAAGACTGATGTTTACATCAGTATTTAAAGGAATAGTAGTTAATCAACCTAAAATGAAAATTCCTAATGTTGTTTTAAACCAATTATGACTTACTGTCTTCTGTGGAACCCATACGGTTTACATACAACAGAAGTAGAGGGAGATCAGGGACTGTCAAGTGCCAAAATGATGAAAAAGCATTGCTAAAGTACCAGTAATCCATGTGACTTGTGTAATATTCAACGTCCACTGAAGAAATGTTGAAATAGTGATATATTACTTACAGCGTAACAGACTGTAATTTATTGACTGAAAATGTGGCCTTAAAAGTTTGCTAAACAGCCTTGGTCACCATACAGTGTATTTAATTTTGCTATAAAAACAAGGAAGAATTTGGGTGCACTATACCTTTATGCTTCCGGTCTGAGGCTAAGAAAATTTGGATGAAATGATAGAGACTATATTTGACAAACATACATTTATTCATTTAGCATCCATGTTTACTTAAAAGAAAAAAGAGAATACATTATAATTACTTTAGAAACATGAGATATTTTTCGGACTATTTAGAGCCTTGTTAATTCTCTCCCCCGCAGGCCCTTAGACCACCTCCTCCAAGGGTGTGATGTCTAGCACCTGTCAAACCTCAAGAAGTGGAACCAGCACACTCCAGACCCTGCAGATCGGATAGAAGTGTGTTATGAGCCTAAGGCTTGCTAAACTCTTCAAGAGAAGACAAATGTCTGTGAAAATAAGCCACATGCATTAGACCAGCACACCTAAATGAATGTTAGTGTGTAAAAGATTGTCCTTGAGTGACATGATGAATTTTAAGTCACGTTTTGTTTTTAACCGAAAAAGCGATTTTTAAATTTCACTATTTATTTGTACAGTCTGTTCCTGTATAATTGAGCCTGCCTTCTGTATAGTAATGATTTTCAGTTAGTAAAAATAGCCGACTCACTTCCACAGAAAGTTCACATTAGAAAGTTGACTTTCTAAAGTTTATTAAATTTTACTTAAAAATTGCTTTTAAATAACATTTTTGTGGTTACTATTTAGTTTTATATTTATGAAAATGTATTGTTTTGTAAAATGCAATGTGAATGTATGACTGAAATATATTTGCATGTTGAATCACATTCTGATTATTGTTTTTTTAACCAACTGATTAAAAATCAAGAAAATATGACCAAACATGAGGTCCATGGTATTTCAGTTTTTATTTGTCGTCTCAACGGATACATCTACAAAATATCAAGAAGTTTATGGTGGCCTTGTGTTACAAGTACTTGATAAAATGGTTGTCCAATTAAATTCCCATATTGTATTTTTAATGATGCTATAATTGTGCATAAACAACATTTTGACACATACCCACAAATGTGTTTCAGGGACTTCATTGAGCCTCTGAAGGCCTAATACTCACCATTTCAACTCTTGAATGCAAACAGAAACTTAGATTCAAACTTCCTCATCACTCCGTTAGAAGTTCACGTTGCCAGTATACCAAGACCAGCTCACACCCTGTTAAACCATTCTAGGAAAACAGTAGAACTCATCCCAGATCAGCTGCTTAATCTCAGTACTTCCATTGGTATCATTTGAAATACATGCAAATAAATGTAGCAAATGTTCCCTTTAGGGTCCACAGACATACTGCACTGATTTGATCCTGCAAAACACACACATACACACTTCAGAAAACGCTGTATGTTGGAAGGTGTCACTGGAATCACATATTTATTTGTCATAAAAGCTGAATTCATACACCTAAAGATGAGCACAACATATTGGTCATAGAATTAGATTTTGAAATGAAAATAAACCAGTCTCATGTCAAGAACCGGTCCAGTATTTAAATAAGAAAATAAAGGTGAAAAACTTGGTCTAAATAAAACACAAAAATTTTTTTACAAAATGAACCGTTGTCTAAAATGTACATTTCAAATGCTTCCAGAAAATGGGGTGGGTTGATCATGTGCATAGCATCAGACATTCAACACCATCGCAAACTCGTGATTAAATCTGCTTTAAAACCAGATGAACTTGCTGCTCTTGGTAAAATGAATAAAAAGGTGCATTAGAAGGCTTAATGCTCTTCCTCTATATTCTCTTGAAGTTCTGTATCTCAACAGTAGGTGGAGACATACAACATTCCCTAAACCTGTTAAAACAAGCAGCCATGTAATAAAAAACCTTACCACAATACCTCACATAGTGTTACAGCTCACACCACCAAGTCAGTTTGTGACACGTTTATCAAGCTCAGCATGCTTTGTTAATGTCTCAAGCAATCGATAGTCTGTACGAGCGAAAGCTGAATACTTTGCATTAAGTGATGGCCTGGAGGACATTCTTTAAAGAGAGGATATTCAATATAACATGTAGGCATTCTCTATTTACAGTGACTTGCGTTTAGTGCAATATTCCTCATTACCTCCCCATCATACCCTAAATTAGGGTTGGTTAGAGCTCTGGCACAAAAAAAAAAAAGACTTTGGCTTTCGAGTCGATCAAAGCAACTTCACACGTCCCACATTGGCTGTTACAAGTGTACATGAGCTTATAGGCATACTAACGAATTTCACTGTACATAATAACTCATCTATCATCTTTTTTAAGAAACAGCAAAAAGAGAAGTGTGGCAGAAAGAAATGAGGTAAAGTGAGCCTGAAAGACTGTCAAATGATATTTCTAAAGAGACTGAAATAGCCTCAAGTACAGATACAGAAAAGTAAGATTACGTGATGCTTTCATAAGACATGCTTTGTTTTTAGAATCAAACAACTTCAATGTTATGGCTGCTTGCATGTGGTGTGTCATCTGGCTGTATTTGGACAAAAATGCTAGTTTTTCCAAGTAGAAATAGACACATGGAACCCAAAGCAGCTAATATTTTCATTCAGTCTGAATCTTGCTTGAAACAGAGTAATATTAAACAGGTTTACTTTCGTAGATATAAAAATGAACCTACAGTTTAACTTATTTCCCTTAGGTTTGTTTTGTCTTAATAAAATCGCTTATTGATAACATACAACAGTATATTCAGTCAAACCATCCCTTGCCGAATACATTGCGACATACAATATTATAAAACGGGGATTAACTAGATCTTCTGATCTGTGCAGCATCTTAAACCCACATCTCTGCTCTCGAGTTACAAAACTGCAGTTTAAAGGTTGACACATTGTGACTGTATACCTGTTTTTTGCACACTTTCAAATGTTCACTCATCTTTAAAATGTTGCTATCAAGTACATCTAATACAATTCATTTAATAAATAAAATCTCATGTTTGTACTTCGTTGTAAGTGATTTTTCTCCCCGTCTGTGGAATGATTCCTCTCCACATTCAAGGCCCTCCTCTGCAGGATCCGGCAGTTGAGGGGTCTGTCTTGTGGAGAACGTGGCAGAGAAAGAGACAATGCTATGGAGGAGAGGAAAAGTGCAAAATCTCCCCTCACACATTCCCGTCAGTGCCGTTTTTCTCGTTGGCAGTGTTAACTGTGGTACCGTCAGGTTGCTGGCCGTCCTTGCGAGGAGGCATCCGTTCGTTTATTCGGTCCAGGCCACGAGCTTCTTCGAAGTTGCGGATTTTCCGTGTAGGAGAGAAACCTTGGATGGCTACCGGGGAAAAAGGAAAAAAAGGAAAATGAGGTAGAGAAAAAAAAACAAAACATTTTGAGACAATTAACAAACGGTATGCCATTTACTGAAATAAGTTTACCTTTGGGCTTTTGCAGTGAAAAAAAAAAAAGACTTTGGCTTTCGAGTCGATCAAAGCAACTTCACACGTCCCACATTGGCTGTTACAAGTGTACATGAGCTTATAGGCATACTAACGAATTTCACTGTACATAATAACTCATCTATCATCTTTTTTAAGAAACAGCAAAAAGAGAAGTGTGGCAGAAAGAAATGAGGTAAAGTGAGCCTGAAAGACTGTCAAATGATATTTCTAAAGAGACTGAAATAGCCTCAAGTACAGATACAGAAAAGTAAGATTACGTGATGCTTTCATAAGACATGCTTTGTTTTTAGAATCAAACAACTTCAATGTTATGGCTGCTTGCATGTGGTGTGTCATCTGGCTGTATTTGGACAAAAATGCTAGTTTTTCCAAGTAGAAATAGACACATGGAACCCAAAGCAGCTAATATTTTCATTCAGTCTGAATCTTGCTTGAAACAGAGTAATATTAAACAGGTTTACTTTCGTAGATATAAAAATGAACCTACAGTTTAACTTATTTCCCTTAGGTTTGTTTTGTCTTAATAAAATCGCTTATTGATAACATACAACAGTATATTCAGTCAAACCATCCCTTGCCGAATACATTGCGACATACAATATTATAAAACGGGGATTAACTAGATCTTCTGATCTGTGCAGCATCTTAAACCCACATCTCTGCTCTCGAGTTACAAAACTGCAGTTTAAAGGTTGACACATTGTGACTGTATACCTGTTTTTTGCACACTTTCAAATGTTCACTCATCTTTAAAATGTTGCTATCAAGTACATCTAATACAATTCATTTAATAAATAAAATCTCATGTTTGTACTTCGTTGTAAGTGATTTTTCTCCCCGTCTGTGGAATGATTCCTCTCCACATTCAAGGCCCTCCTCTGCAGGATCCGGCAGTTGAGGGGTCTGTCTTGTGGAGAACGTGGCAGAGAAAGAGACAATGCTATGGAGGAGAGGAAAAGTGCAAAATCTCCCCTCACACATTCCCGTCAGTGCCGTTTTTCTCGTTGGCAGTGTTAACTGTGGTACCGTCAGGTTGCTGGCCGTCCTTGCGAGGAGGCATCCGTTCGTTTATTCGGTCCAGGCCACGAGCTTCTTCGAAGTTGCGGATTTTCCGTGTAGGAGAGAAACCTTGGATGGCTACCGGGGAAAAAGGAAAAAAAGGAAAATGAGGTAGAGAAAAAAAAACAAAACATTTTGAGACAATTAACAAACGGTATGCCATTTACTGAAATAAGTTTACCTTTGGGCTTTTGCAGTGATCAAAAAGCCTATTTATCGAATTATTTAACCATGAAGGAAATGCAACTGTGGTGCTTTTTAAAATGGACTAAATTAATCAAATCAAACATCATGTCACATGATACGCAACACCAAATTTTTTGCCTCATGTCATGCTGTGTACACTACAGTTCAGCGGTTTGGGACTGGTAAGAGTTTTTAATGTTTTTAAGTATCTTATGTTCACCAAGGCTGCATTTATTTGATCAAAAACATAGCAAAACACTACTAATGTAAAATATTATTAACATACAACTTAAAATAACTATAATTTATTATGTTAAAATGTAATTCATTGATGTGATGATGGCAAATGCTTAAGAAAAATTTCTTATTATCAATGTTTTGTGGAAACTTTATTTTTTAAATGAATAGAAAGTTCAAAAGTACAGCATTTATTTGAAAAAGAAATCTTTATTAATGTCCTTACTGAAACAAATGTCTGATGTTGATCAATTTAATGCATCTTTGCTAAGTAAAACAAAACAAAACAATCTTACTGATTCCAAACTTTTCAACAGTAGTGTACAGTATGAGCAGTAAATTAGTATAAATATAAGAATATAATTGTAAAAAAAAACCTGACAGTAAAAAACAAACGGTGGTCTACAGAAACATGGTGACAACAACAGTAACTTGCAATTCTACAATTATGAGATGCAGTAAAATATATCATAAAATGTACAGAAATATCAGAAAAGTTTATTTATATAATTTGTCATTTTATTTATATTGTTATCTTGCACAACTAACAGGCTTATTATGTCCTATGGCATTTCTGAAAACACCAGGCAACTGCCAAGATGAATCATGACTGTTTCCAGTTGACAGAGCAAACACAAGACGCCCATTCAACACCAGTAAAAATGGAGATGCAGCTGAACTTAGAAATCAGGTCAGCAACTCGAGTGTCTTGCTCTGGCACACTTAACATTTCAAGCCAGAGCGTGTGTTTGTATTTGTCTGCACAATAGCTTAGGGTACATTACAGCAGCGTCGGGCAAGAGTGTTACGCGTCAATGGGAACAGACCGTCTTAGGAGCACAGAGTCGTAACGAGATTAGAATCTGAAAATGCTTGGCGGAGGAAGGTCTTGGCCTCTCCGCCAATCGCATGGCAGCATGGGAATTAGCACACTCTAGCCAGGGCCCGGGACTAACGGTCAACAGGCAACAGCTAATTAATGAGGTGAAGCAGAGCCTCATTCCCTCACTGCATGGATGCTTTCAAGTGTCCGCACCCATCATTTATCATAAAAAAAAATATCGACCCGGAGTCATTTCAGGCTCTTTTGTAAAATCTGAATCTCATAAGGGAAAGGAATGCCTTTATGAAACGTGAACCGCTGCGTTCAATTCAATTAGTTGGTGCAAAAATACTGATTTTCCATGATTCGTACGAGACACACACACACACACACACACACACACACACTGAGGTGAACGGCAAGGCACGAAAATACACAAAGGGGAAGAAAGCACAGCATATAGGGGCAGGAGATGACACAGTACTGCCAGCGTACCTTGACCCTCCTTTGCTTCTATGGTGGCTGTATTAGCAAGCGCAGCAGGAAGTAGTCCAAAATGAATGGAGAGAGAGGTTATATCAGCGTGATTACATTACACCCCAAGCATATTAACCTCACACACCACAGCAATGCAGTCATATTAGTAGTTAAAGAATCCAACAGTAATATAACCAGTGCACAGAGCAGTTAGTGAGGAAAAAAGCAATTAGTTCTTTACAAAGTCACAGAGTGATTGTTTGGCCTTTTTTTTTTTTTTTAATAACTGATGACTTATTCAGTACTGGGACAAAAAAGGCTACAGAACTTAAAAAAAAACAAAAAAAAAGGTTTCTGTATCTCTGAAATACACTTTCAGATGTATCTACATACATTTAGGTGTAATCTCTGACTTGCCTATCAATAAATATTGGTCAACAACTACCAGATACACAATGTGTCAAATATTAATAAAAAATTCTGACACATTCGAGTGAATGAATTACATTATTATTCTATATTAACTATATTTGTACGTATATTTTAAACTACAAAAACAGTAATTATTATAAAATTACAGAACTAAAACAACTCAGAGAATTTCAATTTGAAATATCTAAAGATAGTC